ATAAGGAATACAAGGACAATTTATAGCAGTGTCTCTTCTGATCAGCTAGAAAATCACTGTTTTTCAGGATCTTTACTTAACGATACTTAACAGCATTTTAGGCCAGCTATTAATCTCTGGACTTTATATTCTAGGAGCCTCGTTGACACTGTTTATGCCTTGAAGGATGAGGTCAAAGAACTAAAACAGGTAATGAAATATAAAAGTCTCTTTTTCAGATCATAACCAGAATTATAAATCATGATTTGTGGGCTCCTCTGCAGATGTGATCCAGTGCTCCATGATGTACACTCTTCCTTGTGTTTGAGGACTGACTGTCCCTGGTGTCAGGGTAAAGGATGGATTGGAGGGGAGAGAGACCAGAGACTTGAAGATCACTTAGGAAATTGTTATAAAGCAGAGTGAGACATGATGAAATCCTAATGTGAGGCAGTACCACTGAGGATATGGAAAAGGAAAACAAATTTAAAAGAAGACACGTCACAGAGTTAGAGCCTGTGGAAAATGATGATGTGATGTTGGGATTAAAAAAGAGCCAGGGGATTGAAGATGAAGCTTCTTACCTGGGTATCTAGTATGATGTGGTGGTGCTCTTTATGGAGCTCAGCAACCACAGAAGGAAGAGAAGTTTGGGGATGGAGACACTGAGTTCACTTTGGGACATAATGAGTTTGAGGTACTTGTAACACATCTAAGTGTAAATACCAAGTTGGGATTGGGGACTGTGGACCTAGCGCTCATGATATGAGATGAGGTCAGTATCAGAGAGATTTGGGAGGCCCCTTAAGAGATACTTGAGTTGAAAGAGAACAGACACTAAGTGAAAAGAGTGTTGAATTAGCAGAGACCAGGACTGGAGCTTTAGAGAATGTCTGTATTTCAAGAAAGAAGGATTGGTTAGAGAGAGATAGGAGAATCAAGTGGCTGCCTTGTCTTAGAAGTTAAGAGAGAGGAGTTTGAAGAAAGAAAGTGTAGTGAGTGGTAAAGGCCAACAAGAGGATGAGCAAGAAGAGCTCTGAGAAGGAGTCAATTTGTTTGGTAATCAACAAGTCTTTTCCCATCATAGGAGAATAAAAGAATGAAGCAATGCTTGGAAGAAGAATTGAAATCAAGAAGGGACCTAGAAAAGCTGGTCCGGAGGCTGTTGAAGCAAACTGATGAGTGCGTTCGGGCTGAGTCCAGTAGCAAGACCTCCATTCTTCCATAACCATTACTGTGCAGCTGGGTAGAGTGTGCCATCAGCATATCTTGAAATGTCCAGCTGAATGGTTTGGCTCAGTTTGCTCACCTCTCTGGTTTTTATTTTGTATTTGAGTCAGCCCCTTTCCCCTCTGTTTGCTTGAATGCTCATTGTTGGTTGGTTGGTTACATTTTTTCAATAGGGGTAAAGGCAAAAAGTGGTAGTAAAAGTCTCCTTAGCATCTTTTCCATTCAATAACAAAAAGAAAGCTAATGTAGGCAAATGACTTAAGTGGTCTTCAGATGGCCTTCAATTCATAGTGCCTCTTTAACAACCATTACTCTTTTGGGGCTGGCTACGATCCCAAAGCAGCTGGCCATGGCTTATTAAAGGTGAACTTGACTTTTCCCCCAATGCTTTCCTATACCTGGAAGCCCCCCAGTACTTAATTTACTGAAAGCAAAACTTTTTGAGCTATGGCTAGAATAGGGTGACAGATGAACACATTTGCCCAATGATCCAGTTGCCCTTCCCTGAACCATCATGTGCCACTCCTCAATGTACACTTTTTTTAATTACTGCCCTCTGCTGTCTATAAGACCAAGAAAACAGTAATGCCCCTATTTACCTTGTGTTGGTTTACATTTTAACTCTGTGGGTCAGAAGTTCTGGTCATCCATGCCAACACCAAATCCATTAGCAAGTTGCACTAGATAGTCCTCACTTCAGCAGCAGAGTTGACCATCTCTACCCCAGTACATGATATGATTTTCCCCTAGCCTTCTGCCTCGTGTGTAAGTTTAATATCTCCCCAGTGCTTTTGGCCAACCATACCAAGTGGTGTTTAAACTAGTATATGTATGCTTTGCTTACTTTTTAAAAATATAGACTGTGAGCAGTTACTTTACTTACATTGTATATTCAAATTACGACTTCTCTCATCTTTTTTAAAACAATCTTTCATTGAGGAAATATTGTGCCCTAGTAGATAGCTTTAACTCACTTTAATGCTCTCCCATATATGCTGTGAGAAGCTGTAATATTCATCAGCCTCTTTGAGTAAGACTTCTTTGCATATCTGGGAAGAAAAGGCTACTCTAGTAGCTGTGTGTTGGTTACTAGTGAAGCTGATTCTTTGAAATTGGTTTATTCAAGTTGCTTATCAAATCAAATCATCGTCTTTGCCAGTATCTCAGAAATTAAAACTGTGATGAACCAGGTTTAGATGATGGTCACAGAAGGGCAGCACACATCCAAATTTCATATAATCAAAAGTCAGCCCAAGGCTCTCTCTCCCAAATTGGTGAAATTTGTCCAGGTGTTCAAGATGAACTGGAAAGAGAGCAGAAGGCCAATGGACTAATCAAAGTTGTTTTCCAGATACATTTAATGAGTGCCTATAAATGTGGGTTTTACGAATGTTGTTTAGAAATCAAACTTGAAGTTTGAAACCTCCAACTTGCCAAGCCCTTTTTCTTTCTAGTACTGGGGGTCTCAAATTCCTGTAGCTACATGGTACGGGGCTGTTGACTGCTTGCTGCACAGCAGAAATTACACCATCCACAGGAAATGGACTATTCCTGCAGTCCAAATCAGCCAACCACACATGACTGTCATGGGAAGCTAAGAGTGAAGGAGATTTCTAGGAATTGGCTGTCATTCTGTTTAAGCACAGCAGTTTAGATATGCCATCTTTCACCTAAAAATTGAAAACAACACAGATCTTAGTATCTGTCCTGTCGGTGGTTAGTCAATGGCTTGAAATAGATGTGCATACTATATTCATAGGAAACATGTTTGTGATTACAGAATATTTTAGTTGATAAGATATAGCTTAAAATATTGAAAAGTCTTTATTTTAAAGTGACATGTACATATGCATGTTTTGGGGACTTAGCTCTTCTGATGAGAGGCCCTCGGTACTCTGGGTAATGAAGCTTGTGCAGAGTGGTGTCCACGCCCATACACTAAACAGTAATATAAAGGAAATGAAGCCATGTTAACCTGAGAGCAGTGTCTCCTTAGTTATGTTGTTTACAATACTCTATAAATAAATGGGTTCCTGTTACTCTGTAATTAAACTGCTGCCTTTAGAGGCCTTTCAGTTTCTCTTCTGTCATGCCCTTCTTACACAAGCTCAAATTTTCTAACTTGTTTTTATTTGGAGGACTTTTAAAATAGACATTTTCAATAAATGAGAATAACAATGCTTTATAAAATAAGTCCTGTGGTTTTTTTTTGCTAGCTAGTATGCAGAAAGATTTCTCATGCTGTATCAGCTTCCTTTCCTATTTCCCTCATTACTCTCCACTCTCACCCCCTTGACAGCTTTGACGTTTTTCACTCAATGAAGATGATATTTGCTCCACACTTTACACAGATAATATATGCCATGAGACAGACCTTCCTTAACTTCTCTACCCCTCTCCTTCTGGCCCCAGCCTATAAACTGTCTGTATCTCTTCTCACCATTTTCCTTCCAATACTAGAGAAAGAGATATATTTTCCTGTTCAAGCTTATCCTTTGACCTTTAGTCTTGCCCCATCCCTCTTCATAGTTTGCAAGATTTTTTCAATCACTAATATCCTTTTTGACTACAGTTCTAATGCTGGTATCAGCAGTCAGGAAGAATATATTTGTTCCACCTCAAGATAGATAATCTGGATATTATCTATTGCTACTCAGCATCCGTTCTTACCCTCATTGTGTTTCCTCCTGGAAGGCAAAAAAAAAAAAAAAAAAAAACCACATTCCAGACTCCTCTGCAGCTAGGGTTCTGGATACAATGTGGATTCTGATACATTTTTAGTTCTAGCAATGAGATGCCTTTGCACAATATTTGGAAGGCTTAAGTTAGGTAGAAAATAATTTCCTGGGGCTTGATGTCTAGCAGGTAGTTCCAAGGATATGTTTGTGGCTTCTGTACTCACAACTTTGTAGATGAGAAACTGTAGTGGCAGTAGTGCTGATGGTAGCAGCAGCAACAGCTTCCTAAACTAGATATGGACCACGACTGCAGTGATATGACCTTGAAGCCATTAGTCCAATGATAGGCCCCTGACTTCCACTTCTGTAGCCAATGATTTTGTAGGTACCTCATATTACTTTTCTATTTGAAATATGTTCAGTGGTTTATGTTTTGTACTCTGAAGCAATAGATATAACTTTGCACCTCCTGTGTTAGGCCCCGTACTAAGTTTTACATGATCGAGCTCATGTAATCCCCACAACTCTATGAGGTATTCATTATTGTTATCCCCATATTACAAATGAACAGAGGCACAGATGTCAAACAATATGCTAGTATTTGTGGAGTTGGGATTTGAAACCCTGGTCTGTCTGGCACTTGGATCCATGCTCTTTCTACCACATTTCTTCCTCTGCAAATTAAAAAAATCTAGGAAACACTTTTCAATATCTATCTTGACTTCTGCAGTATTTGACCCTTGCCTCCTTTGTATATATCTCTCCTTCCTTGGATTTCATGATCTTAACTTTTCTGACTACCTCTCAGTCTCCTTTGTTGGATCGGCCTCATTTGTCTATCCCTGAACATTGCTGATCCTCAACGCTCTTTTCTTCTTCTCTTCATTTTTATAGGCTCTTCCTGGATAAACTTGTCTACTGCAATAACTTCATTTATCAAAATGCAGATGACTCTCATGTCCATATTTTTCCATCCTGAACTTTCTTGTGAGCTCCAGACCCATGGATGCAAACTACCTTCTGGATATTTCAACTTGGATGTCCAACAACACCTCAAACTAAACATGTCCCAAATTGGACTCCTTGTTTCTATTCCTGAATCTGCTTCTCCAATGTTTCCCATCCCAGTGAACAGTGTCCCAGTCTACTTAGTTGCCCCAACCAGAAAAACAGGCATTTTCCTTCATTCCAGATCCCCCTACTCAACACTGCATAAATTTATACATTAACCCTTTATAAGTCTAGTCATCAAGTCTTACCATTTTTAAATCTTGTATCCCCTGAATTTCTTGCCATCCTCATAACCATTGTCTATTTTTAGCACTTGTCACCTCTCCCTTGGACTAATCTCCTGCCTCTGTATTATCTCTATTATGGCCTCTTTGGGGCCAGTAGAATGATTATCTAAAAGACTTGATTATGTCATTCATCTGTTTAAAAATTTAATCTCTTGCAACTTCTCACCAAACTTAGTAAAATTCGATCTCTTTGAATTTCTCTTAAGTCCTATGATATGCTGTTTGCCCTGCCTAGAATCCCTTTCCCATCCTTGTCCATCTAGTGAATTCTTTCCATTTAGAGTCAGCTTAAGCAGTTATGTAAACTGATGATTTTTAAAATGTATGTACATATATGTCTATGCATGTGTATGCATACATTTACATATATGTAGTATGTATATTTGTGTGTATTAGGATTATCGGAGGAAATGCAAGATGCCCAGTTAGATTTGAATTTTAGCTATACAGCAAATAATATTTTGTTATAGATCATGCCACAAATATTGCATGGGCTATATTTATACTGTTTTCAATGTTTGCCTAAAGTTAAAATGTAACTGCGTGTCCTTAATTTTTATTTGCTAAGTCTG